AGTATTTAGAGAATGTCAGAGCTAATAATAATTTGATCACTTAATATTTAGTCATTATTGTTAATTACTACCATTTATAGATACTACCTATTAATTTTCCCTCATATGATTTTTATGCTGAGCGTGTTATACTTTTGAACCTTCAGTTGTCTGATTGATTGTGTCCTATTCTGTTTATTAGAGTACATAAGAAATAGAGAAGGTAGGTAACAAGGGTACGGTGTGGTGTGCCTGATGAAGTGAAAACAGACCAGTAACACTGCTGTTGTCATTCCCACCACCACCAATTACCGTTCCACCCCCAAAAGAAAGTGATTATTTCACCTTCTTAGGATGAAACCTGGGCGCTGACAGTCTAGAACGAAGAGGTTGGAAGAAATTAGAGATCCATTTTGTGTAACACATTATAAATTCCTTGGTTTTTATTAATAGTATATAGAATTTCATAACAAAGGTCAAAAACATTGTGTTAAGTTTTCTTACCAAAAATTGGATTGTGCCTTTTAAATCTTGCTTTAGTGTGTGCCTAAAATGGCTGTGTGTTGACTTAAGGCACAGTAGGACTGTTGTCTGATGTGCTGATAGAGTCCTTCCTTTTTATTAACTGTATTAGAATGTTCTTTAGAGGATTAACACAGGTGTTTTTTTCCATTGTGAAATAACATTTTTATTGGTCATAGGAAAGATTCTTATTTTTCTCTTTAGAAGAGGAAGTTTTTTGTTGGTTTATGAGAACAGACCTAGTTGATGTGTTATACCGGACCCTGCCAGTAATATGACTGTAACAGTGAGGTTAATGTCTTTGCCTTTTTAAAGTATATGATAGTGACTTTAATCTCAAGAGTAAAGCGTTCTCAAGTTTTTGAGGCTTTCATTAACAGTTTGTTTTAAAAATAGTATCCAGGAATCTAAATTTTCATGAAATGCATTTATATTTTCAGGCTGCTCCTTGAGGTAACAATCTGGGTGTGTGTGTGCACGGTAGTTCTATTTTACCCATAGTGCACTGTTTAAAGGTTCAAAATGCTCCTAGTTCCAGCATTCTTGGCTTTGCAGTAGAAGTCAGGGTCCACTCTGTAATGTTTTAGACCTAGGCTGTCCAGTATGATAGCCCCTAGACACATGGCTAAAGTTAAAAATTCAGGAGCCACATGTGGCTAGTGATTACTGTATTGAACAGCGCAGATATAGGACACCTCCATGGTAAGGAGAGAGCTCTGTCGAACAGTGCTGTTGTAGACTTCCTGCAGCCATCTACTCAGTAATATTTTTCAGTGGCATAGGAATCAGAACATTAGAAGAATATTTTCTAGGAGCAGAATTACTGTTACTTTCAAAAACATAGATAGCAGTATTTGACCAACCTCATTTGGGTATCAGTGCACATGATATGGGAGCACTATTTTTAGAGCCATGCTTCCTCATCTTTTACACATCCTGGCACACTTGAAAACAGAAATGTTTGTATGGCACACTGAGGTAAACTGAGGTAAAGAGTTTTCTCAAAACTGGAGGTTACAGGTTTGGGTGCTTGCCGTATCCAGGCAAACCCATATCCCCTTCTTGGCACACCGGGGTGTAGAAGCACATACAGCTCAAAGCTCAGTTTCATAGCATACTCCATAATGGATTCCTGGATATTTTTCTTGGTCTACAAAGCAGAATTTGATCTTATTCTCCCTTTTATTCATCATTTTTATATGTCATATTCTCAGTGAGACCTTGTGAGATCTAGGTATTTTACAACTCAAAAAAACTTTCAAAGCAGTCATACACTTGGAGATTTAATAGGTGCTTGTGTATATGGTGGTTCTCTCACACATGTGCCGATGGCCGAGCATCCAGAAATCATGGTGTTTCTTTTCTCCCCTTTCTTTTATTGTGGGGAAGGAGGAGGGAACACCATGGCGTGGTACCTATTTAACTTCATCATACAAGGCAGGAAAATAATTTACTTATCTGAAATATGGCTATATTAAATATATGCAGTATAAAAATCACAGCAAGGAAGCCATTAGTCTGCCTGCCCACCCCTCCCCCAAATAAAATTCGTCTACACTACTCACTAAGCATCAGCGGCTTGCTTAGCTATTTCTTAAATTTTCTGTTTGTTCATTGGCTTTTGGCAAGATAGCCACAAACAGTAGTGTCTTAAAAATATCTAAAATGAGAAAATTGTATGCCTTTCGCTCAATATTTCTCTCCCTCAAGGATTTAAAGTGGGTTGACTTTTGTGGTATAGATCTTTGTTTCTTGTCGTTTCCTGACATTCAGCCTCTCACTGTGTAGGCCATTTGTTTCTAGGGTTCCTCAGCCTGTCTCAAGTGTACCTCTTAGAGTTTTGTACCCTTGCTGCAAAGCTGGTTTGGTACTAAACACGTATCATTTCACTTTACTCTGCAGCTCTCGTAAAATAAGCATTCTTAGGATAAGAAGTGACACATTGTAAGGGCAGATGTCTTACTATTCCTGTTGCGTCCTGCACCAAATTACTGGTCTTTTCCTCTTCTCCTTCCTCCCCTCCACACCCCACGCATGTGCTCCCCCCATGCACGTGCACACACGTCTCCTTCCCTTCCCCATGCGGTGTTCAGTGACCTCAGTATAACCAGCTATGTGAGTCAGTAATGTCTTCAGTACTTGGGGGTATTGTGCCTGCTGTTTTATTCCTTGATTCTTGTTCTGTCTCTAAGAATAATACAGGTGTGGAATCCCTACTGCCACCACCCCCATCCCAGATCTCCTCAATCCTCTTATTATAATGATCTCCTTACTGACTTAATCACCTCTAGATTTCCCCCTGTCCAGTTCACCTAAGGAAGATCGACATTTCTCCCCATTAGAAATGGAGCCCATCCTGCAGCATTCTGTCCTCCCTGCTTTTTACTACTGCCCAACAGAGAGGCCAGCCAGGCTGGTCATACCGTGATCACTGACATATGCCCTGTTAAGTCTTATCTGTAATAGTTCATCTACCTAACAAGGAATTAATTTAGGTGGCTGCAACAATTTGGACCTGGGGAAAGAGGAAATAATTTAAATACTGAGCCTACTCTTCCTGTTATTCCATTGAATGAAAAGGAGAATGAATCTGGAGCTGGTATCGGGTGTGAGCATTTCACCAAGCCAAGAGCATACACTACAGTCGAGAGATAAGGTGTTTTTGGTGAAGCATGTACTTTATATTCAAATTAACTAGTTCATTTGATGAGTTAGCCAAAGAAACCACAAACTATCAATGCTGTAGGGA